CTCTTTTATTCACCACTCTTCTTTGATTTTTCATTTAAATGTGCCTCTGAAATGTATTATTTCTCTGAAATTCTGTTTTAAAATCTCTAACTTTTCTTAAATTCATTATTTGTCTTAAATTTAATACTGAAGTTCTTTACTTTTCTTAAACTCATTCTTTTCTGAAGAAAGAGTGCTGTGATGTCGGTTCTTGAATCAAATAAATCAAATCAATTTTCTGAAGAAGGAAATAGCAACGTATTCCCTCTGTAAAAAGTACTGTTTGTGTGTTCCAGCTTTTGCCAAACTCCTCTAAGAATGAAAATTTTGATTAGTCTTTAATTCAACTAATGTCAGGATATGAATTCTACATAAACAGCTTCTTGTGCTTTTGTGTGTGTGTGTAAGGGGGAAAATGGGGGGTCCATTTCAGAACCATTACAACACAAGAAAGAGCTTTCAATAAAACTCAACGACAATGAGAAATATAACACTATTGAGGTCCCAGTGAGGGGGGAAAACTAGTGCAAAAAAAGAACACCGTCCCCTATATCTAGCATGCCACAAAAGGTGACTAATTTCCTTTAAAGTCGCAATGCATCTTCCTGAGAGATGAGGAACCAACAGTCTGCATACAAGCAAACCATATCTGTCAATTTGACACGCATGTAAAAAAAAAATAAGTTCTGAAACAAGACTAAAGTCTAGAAGTCGATGAACAACCAGAACTATCTGTCCCAGTTTACACCTCTGAATGCTAAGACGAAGAATACTACTGAGCAGTGTGGTCAGTTTGTCACGGCAAAAATAATGCTGGTCCTGCGCTAGAGTAAACTCCCTTGTAGCATGGATACTTCTACCAGGTACAGAAAACTCCAACAATGCAAGCAGCAAACTAATAACTTGTCATTCCCTCTAGATCAGGTCTATTCAACTATGTTTCCTCATAGGCCAAAATTTTAAAACTGGGAATCAATGCACAAATGTTTCAAAGAACTGTAGAAAACATGTCCAGCTAGTCAGCAAGCCTTGATGTAACAATGAAGCCAGCAGACATCATAACTGAGTGATTTCAGTCTTCCCACATGTTTGGTACAGTTCTTTGAAACCTGTGTGCTGCTATAGTTCTCAGAAACCTGTGTGCATTTTGTTGCTCGTCTTCAGTGCCCTTTTTTATGGAATGAACTTTCAGCTTATTTTTCTTTGTTTTTGAGGTGTGGTGCTCTTGCTACAGCAAGAAATCCTGTTAAGCCTTGTTAAAGGCTGGAGCCTCAGCACTGAAAGATCATTAACAGAATACAACTAGCAGTGATCCGCGGGCCACTTGCTAGGTCTCCGTGGGCTGCCAGCTGAACAGCCCCCCCCCCCCTCCATTAAATCATCAACATCATATCCCACCGCGTTGAAGGAATAATTTGCAATCCAAGGCTTGCTGTCCGTCACTGGCTTTTGTCACGCTGTGAAGGCATCAAGTGTCTATAATGTTTGTCAATCTATATTTTTCGGGGCCGTCCTCTTGTAGCTGATCATCTGAGATATAGTACCTGTGAGGGTATTTGATATTGCTGTATTCTAACGAGATGATCAAATTACTTGGTCTGCTGCTTTGGCCATCTCGTTACAATGAAAATTGTTCAGACAAAACATCCATCACACACATTCTGATAACTGTTGATGGAGGCAGACTCTATTGTGACATCAGCTGACGTCGAAGGATATATAAGTTTTACCCACTGATGGAGGGACATGCAGTTGTGTACTTGCTCCAACTCTGGTCTGAAGGTCTTGTGTCTGGACCCATGTTTAGTCAGATGTGGTTTTTTTCAATGACCTTGTCTCACAGACTGACTTAGCCTTTTTTTTTAACCGGTCTATAAAAATATGAGTCTAGTATATTAAGCATGATATTTCAGCACATGAAAAGGGCCCTTAACTTTACCCACTGAAGCAGTTAACAGCTACAAAGATTAAAATAAACTAGTCTCACTTTCCTTTTTTTTTTTATTACACAGGAGTCAATTCTTCTTTCTCCTCTGCATTCGACATCAGCCATGCTAAGCATCCAGTTCCATCTGAGTCACAAACTGTGCGGCGAATCGAAGGTCATCAATGGACCCCTCAAAACAGTCTTCTTTCTTCTTTTGTCCTGCAGCTTATGCTATAAGGCATAGCAGAGAAGAGTTAGACGTAGGTTCCTGTCTTTTTCTAGATGCGTAGCTTGTGTCAATGTCATACTTGCACTTCTACAGTTTCTCTTTTACTCCCTCTACCAATATGTTTTTCGTAGACCTCTTGACTTGTAGCCTGCTGTTCTCATGCAGAACACTCTAGCTGCTGAATGATTTTGTTCCATTGTGACTAGAGGGCCAAACCATTTGGCTCTTTGATGTTCCCCCTCAGTGGAACTTCAACTGTGCCATGAAATCACTTAGCGGTGCTGTCTAAGATTTTTCTTAGATCTTTGACTGTCTGTTCATGTTTTTCCCACCACATTCCTTAAACATCTCAACTCACATGCTGTAATTTTAGGTTTACGTTTTTCTAGGTCTGTCTGTGTCAGGTACTGATAGCACAAAGTTGGTACAAACAGTGCATTTATCGGATGCTTTATTGTGTGTATGTGTGTGCATGTTGACACTACGATGCCTCCAAAGTGGCACTATAACCTTCTTTGCTAAGAAAAACCCTCCTGCATCCATCAGTATTAAAAACTCATATTTGCCCTTCACCCATTTGGACAAAGTTATAATTTCAAAATAGAAACAATTCTGAGAAAACTAAGTGGAACCACATGGGGTGCTAGCGGGAAAATACTTAGAAAAGTTTACCAACAAAGTGTTCAACCACATCTTGAATACGGATCAACAGCATGGAGTTCGGCATCAAAAACCACATTGCAAGAATTAGACAAAGTGCAAAATCAAGCACTCAGAGTTACCACAGGCAGTATGAAATCAACACCTATAGCTGTGATGGAGAAAATGGGGATGACCCAAGCACTGAGTGAACGCAGAGACACCAAGATGCTTTTACAAGCAGAAAAGTTTCTTAGTGTGCCCAGTCACCCTATGAATGAAAGATTCAAAAATTTAGCTTTGGGACGACTAAAGAGAAGTAGTTTTATCCACCAGGCCAAACGGCTCGGCAGACAAACCACTGATTTACCTGCAACTGATAGATCCTTAAATGCTGTCCCAGAACGGACCCCCTGGAGAGAGGAGTATAAGTTTCCAATACACATCAAGACTGAAGTGAAAGGGGTATTTGACAAGGAAGAACAAAACAGTGTGCAGCGCAAAACAGCCACCCTCAGTCTACTTGATGATGAATACCCACAGAACCTTTGGGTCCGTGTTTACACAGATCGGTCAGCAGAAAGCGCAGTCAGAAACGGAGGTGCAGGAGTGTACATTGAGTATCCTAATAATACCAGTGATACAGCCAAATTACCAACGGGAAAGCACTGTCACAACTATGATGCAGAAGTTCAAGCCATCAAGATAGCGGTAGAGAAACTGCTAAATACAGTGTATTTTTCACAACCAGTGGTATTCCTGACAGATGCAAAAGCAGTACTTCAGTAACTCCGGTCTGGAAAATTACCAAGCATACGGACACTATTATCCGAACTAGGCAACCGCTGTAAATTAGTAATGCAGTGGATACCTTCCCACTGTGGAGTTCCCGGAAACGAAAAAGCTGATAAACTAGCTAAGGAAGGTGCAACTGAAGAACAACCTGACATACCAGTCTCTTATCAACAGAAGAAGAGAATGATCAAATCAATCAGAATGCCACCGAAACTGGCACAAGATGATTACCATATCATGGACAGACCAGAGCAAGTCATTATCCTTCGCCTTAGAACAGGGCATAATCGACTTCGCTCCCACATGTACAACAAATTTAAGATTGGCCAATCAGCCATGTGTACTTGTGGACTGGCACCTGAAACAACAGATCACATCCTTTAAGACTGTCCCAGATTCAACACTTTCAGGCAAAACCTTTGGCCAAAAGAGACACTTGTGGAAGTCAAACTTTACGGGCCGCTTAGTAAATTACAAAAGACAGTGAAATTCATACTAGAGACAGCTTTGCAGATATAGACAATTTATTTCATGCGAACGAAAGAAGAAGAAGAAGAAAATAGAAACAAATAAAGAATAAAAGTAGAAATTAAACAGAGAATTGTGGTTAATTTTTTTTTTTTAAGGAGAGGAGATAGGGTGAGCTGCATGCAATATCTATCAATAGAACAACTTGAAGTATTGGTTGAGGGCCTATGCTCCATCTAAAAAAAAATTTTTTTTAAGGGGGTGGTGGGTGAATTGCATGTAAACCTTTACAGATACTGTATATTCATGCAGCTCTGTAGCTTAAAGGACAGTGAAACTGTTTCACAATGTAAAATATTATGCACCAGATTCAATTCCTGTGGTAGGTATAAAAAAAAATATTTTTAAAGTTAAAATCCCTTTTCACGCCTTTAGGCACATTAGGCATATAGGAAAAGCACCCACATTTGTACAGACCAATCGGTACTAGGTGGGTAATGTGGTCAGCATTACGCCGGCCATCTTTACTTCCCCAGGACATCCATCCTGGTACACATTTTAGGCTGGGTCGACCTGCGACGCCCCATACCATGATAATAATCCACGCAGCCAGCAGTGTGTTTCGATCACCGTACATGGGAATTATGAGTTCGATTCACAAAGCCCAAGTCATGGGCGCCGCTCATGGTGGGTAGTTTATGAAAACAAAGATCATTCTTGTGGTTTTCAAACAGTGGTATAAGAGTTGCACTGTGGAAGAGGCTGGACCTCCACCATGCAATATTCATGCAAATAGCAGCAAATACACTGCAACCAACCTCTAATGTGGAATGTAAAGTGTTTAAAAACAAACAAAAATCATTTAAACCAGTGTCAAAATCAACATCAAATTTCCACCCAGAGAGACAGACATACAAAACCAAACTTAATAAAAGGTTAATAAAAAGCTGTAAGCAAAATTACCTTAAAGTTTGGGCTGAAGAGTTTGTGAGATTTGTCTTTGTTGGCTCTGTCTAACTCCATCTTTGGTAACGTCAGAGAAAGGAGTTCATTGCTTTCATTGCCCATTGCACAGGGACCACCATTCTGATGCGAGTTCTCTCTCTCAGTAACAAAGAAGGTGTTGAACCAGAAGTGAAACATCTTCTCCTGTGTAAGAAACAAGCAGCAGTGTAACAGGGAGATCATGTTTGAGGTTTAATCATCATCCCCTTTCAGTTGTTTTTTTTTCTGTGAAGCCTCAGATGGAGGAAGAGTTGGTGGTCCAGCACTCAACAGGTTATACCAGCTAGTAGGGTTGCCAGATTTTGTAAAAGTTAAAAAACAAATGTGATGACGGCTTGTTTGTTTATAGTGACATTTTTCCCTACTTACAGACTATATTTAAAATAAACATAATGAAAATACTAAATTTTTCTTCTTCTGCCTTCTTACCCCCAACGGCGCATAGGACCTCAGCCAACTCTCGCCAAGTCGTTTTGTTTTTCGCTACTGCATGCAGCTCACCCTATTTCCTTCCCATCTATTTTTTTAACTTCACTCTCCCTTCTCCTCTTTTTTGGTCTGCCTTTATTTCTATGTCCCTGTGAGTTCGAGTTCAAAGACAATATAGTTTTATTGTTCCCAGGTTTTCTTAATGTGTGTCCTGTCCAAAACCAGAATCTTTTTGTCACTTCTTGGTCCACTGGTACTTATCCAGTTTTCTGCCAAAGCTCTATATTAGTGATTCTTTCATACCATTTAATTCCCTCTATTCTGCTCAGGCATCATTTAATAAATGTTTGTAGTTTATCAGTAACTGTTTTAGTTGTTCTCCATGTTTCAGCTCTGTACAAAAGTACAAATTTGAAGTTAGAATTAAAGACTTTAATTTTAGTTATTAGTTTTAATTTCTTTTCACCTCCACAAATTTTGTAGTGCAATGAAAGCTCCTCATGTCTGGTACCCTAATTTTAACAATTCGCCCATATTTATCTACATTACTGCATAATGTGTATGAACAGGTATTTGACCACGTATTGTGTGGGATACCATTAAGAGAAACCATATGACTATTTGCCTGATTTATTGACATTATCTTTGTCTTTCCCTTATGGATTTAAGACCTAGCTGTTGTGATCTCACATCAAGTATATTTAATTTATCTTGCATCTGATTCCATGAGTGGGATAGAAGAGAAATATTATCAGCAAAGAACATACCACAAGCTGTTTTGTAGAAGTGTAAACTTTCTCCCACAGGAACAAAATTAGGCCCAAAAATCCTGAAGGAATCTGGCAACCCTACTGGCTACTGACATTCCTTGTAGATGCCGAATGTCTAAGGTTTGAAATGAGTGCAGGATTACTGCATATATAGATAGCTCCATAAGTGTCGCAGCCTCCCCACAATGAGCAAACAAGCTGAATCTCAACATGGTGCATGGTTTCAGTTTATTCAGTCAATAGACTTGAATGAAATTGTTTAATGTCACAATATCTTCTTCTTCTTTGCGTTTACCAGCTGTTATCTCTGGCGGAAAGTTTTGGTTATCATACAATTCTTGACTGCAGTCCTGTTCCAGAACCTGAGTGTTGCATGTGCATCCGTTTTACAGACCTGACTCATGTTGTATGCAGACTGCTGGTTCCTTGCCTCTCAGGCTGATGCACTCCGACGTCAAAGGAAGCTCCAAACTAGTCGACTCTTACGACATGCTTTTGGGTAAGCAGTAGGTCTATTTTTTTTGTTTTCCCTATATTAGGGCCCCGGAACCCACAGGGGGAATGTCACAATAAAAATATATCATTCTTTTTATTTATTAGTGACCTGGGTAAAATGGCTGTGTTATCTAAAGTTTTTTTTGTAAAGAAATACCTACAGGTTCATGGTGTATTTTTCAAGTGTTCTCGGGTGAAATAGTTTACGTTCTGTAGACAGAAGATGTGCGTTTTAACCATAGGTTTTCCTATACTGTCATCCTGATCAAAAGGTTAGATATCTGACCCATTTCATTAGAACCAGTTAGAAGTATGAGTTTCCTTAGACTTGAGGATTTGCTCCAAATATTTTCAGTAGACTTTTATGAATCACAACACTGAAACTTTCTACCCTTTGTTTGTCCCAAAAGTGGGCATATGTGGCTTTAGGGTAATGAATGCAGTTCTATGATTCTGACCAGTCGGAGTTTGAAATCAGCTGCAAGAAATCTGGCAGTGTCCAGCCATTTAGAAAGCAATGTTAAACTGCTGAACATAAACAGACAATAAAATGTTTGGGTTGGTTTGTGACATCCTGCAAAGGAAAAGCAACTAATAATTTACAGCATCAGACTACTAAATAAACTGCCTAACTAGAAATATCGTAAACAGCCTGGAAAGAACAGGAACCTAATTATTTATGGCATCAAAATACTGAACATAAAACTGTCCAGGAAAATCATAAACGGCCTGCAAAGGATAAGCAACTACCAATTTAAACATAAAATTACTAAAGATAAAACTGTCTAGAATTACTAAACATAATACTGTCTAGCAAAATCATGAACAGCACGTAAAGGACAAGCTAAATATTTACAGCAGTGGTTCTCAACCTTCCTAAAGACCCTTTAATACAGTTCCTCATGTTGTGGTGACCCCTGACCTTAAAGTTATTTTCATTGCTACTTTATAACTTCAGTGAATATGTTGTTTTCAATGGTCTCAGGCGACCCCTGTGACGCGGTCACTGGACCGCATGAAGGAGTCGTGACCCACAGGTTGAGAATTTACAGCATCAAATTACAGATGATAGGGATGGTTTGGAACATCCTCTAAAAGATACACAATTAACACACCACACCCCCCCCCCCCCCCCCCCACCCCCAAGAAGAAAATAACATACCCTCTTGTTGATCTTGGACTTGTTAAAAAATTCCACCTTGATATCACCACAGACTGGAATCGATTGGTTGCCATGATTTACGGGCATGTAGAAACTATTGCGATCTTTACGTACACCTTCGTAGACAGGTGAGGTGTAGACTTTCACCTTCAGCTGGTGGACCTCGAAGTATGGTGCTACAATTCAAAAGCGAAAAAAAGCCATCATAATGTGCACCTTCATATAGCATTCTTCTTCTTCTTCTCTTCAACCATTTACCTCAGCGAGGTGTTGGGAGGAGATGTAAGGATCGTTTGAGAGCTTTTTCCAATGCATTGTACAAGTTGGTGTTCATTTCTGTTAGGTTGCACTTGATGGTGTAGTTCCATCTCTTTTGTGGTCTTCACACAGCATTACTGAACTACAGGCATAGTGCAGCGCATTTCTAAGACACCAGTTAAGTAAATCGTCTTCTTCTTCGTGTTCATCAGCTGTAAACTCCGGCGGAAAGTTCTTGTTGTTCGTAAACTTCTAGACTTTAGTCTTGCTCCAGAATCTGAGTTTTGCGGGCACATCAGTTTTACAGATCTAGCTTACCTGTAAGCAGACTGCTGGTTCCTCACCTCTCACTCCCAATATGAAGGAAACACCCCTAATTAGTCAGCTACTATGATATTCTTGTTATTGGGGGGGGGGGTCCTTAAGTCCCCAAAATGGGAACCTGGAACCAAAAAATAATTATAAATGTAAATAAAGTATGCCACTTTCAAGGTCAAAAAAGGAGACACTAACCAATTTATTATGGGAATAATCATTAATCTTAGAATGGCTGCTGCATCGAAGGACTGAGCATGCATGCCAATTTCCAATTTGCAGCGACACCAATTGTGATATCACACCCTATTGTTCCATGCATAAGACTGTTGCTCCAACAAAATTTTTAAGTTTAACGTGTGGGCGGCATCTTATGCACAGAATGTGACTAAAATATTTATGTCTTAATTTTATGCTAACAAAAAATATCAGTTGTCTCAAACATGGGGGGGGGGGGGGGGGGGTGGGGGGGGGGGGAGAGCAGCTAGACTCTCGCCTATGGATCAAAAGGTCATGGGTTCAGGTCCTGAGGGAGCATGCCTTTTTTTTTTTTAAGTGGTCTTGGCTTATAGAAAAACCTAGCCTCAAATGGGTACCAGGTACAGCCCTGGGAAGTAAAGGTGGACGGCGTGGTACTGACCACATCAACCACCAAGTACTCGTTTGGTCTATAAAATATGACTAGCCATATATGCTTAACATGCCAGAAGGCATTAAGAAGGGTCCTTTTTCATAGGGGGGGGGGGGGGGAGGGGGGGGGCGTCTTATACATGGAAAAATATATTAAGTAAGGGACTCTTGTCACACCATTGATGAACCAGACACATGGTGCTAGATCCATATTTGCACTCACTAAATGGCACTCAATCAATAGGCGTAGTTTTAACATCACGATGGTCAACTTCACTATCCAGGACATTCCCTAGGAAGTGAGGACACCTAAAGGAAACCCTAAAACAAATTTTGAAGAGTGAGGTCAATGGTGAAGGACTGCTTTAATCCATGATTTTAAAGGGTTTAAACATGATACCATGAAATGGAATAATAATAATAATATGCTGCAGATTTGGGCTACGGTTTCAGAGAATTATAAGGATAAATAAATTGTTAACAACATTTTTAACAAGGTTGCATTTTTTTTTTTAAAGTTCTAAAGGGGTTGAGTACTCCGTCCCCATGTTCAGCAGTCAGTGCAGAGTTCCAATACCAATGGTGCCAGTAGCATTCTGATTAAATGTTTATCTGGCCTTGCCTCTGAGCATAGGCCAAAACCTCTCGCTACTCCCCGCTGCATAAATCTCTCCAGACTGTGGTGATTCCATTTGCTCCTCCGAATTGTCCATGCTCTCCCATACAGTCCTAACCACATCTGCATTATCAAGCATTAACATTCCACTAAGTTGTACAGAGTCAGCCAGCATGTCTGCCTGTTCATTTCCCAACAATACTCATCACCAGTGATCTCTGCACGAAGCACGCCTGCCCTGACCTTCGTCTGCATGCTTTCTGAGACAGTTCTAAAGGGATGAAAGAGCTAAATAATACTTGACTGAGGAAAAACATAGAGTACTTACTGCAGGAACCACCGCTAAACATGGGAATGGTTTCAAACTTGATACCTCGCAACAGCAGGCTAACCTGCTGGTACTCTATCCCAGGTTTCAATAGATCTGCGTAATATAACACATAGCGACGCTGGCTTGGGATTGTGACTCCCTGCAAAAAACAAAAACAAAACAACAACAACAATTCACATAGAAAATATGTCAGTGCAAGAAAACAAAATGTTGCAGAATAATAATTCCAAGGAAATAAAAATAAGTTTTTTTATCATCAATAAATTACTGGATGGGGTTCAGTCCTCAAACTAAACAAAAAATTGTGAGCTCCCAGGGCCAGCTCCCCTGGCAGACGGACATGATTTGTCAACTCAAGTAACCAGCAAACACAAAATTACAACATGTGAGATGAGAGGTATAAGAAATGCAGCAGGAAAAACTAGAAGAGAAGAAGTCATCAATAAAGAACTAAGAACAATGGTAAGAACAATACTGGTAAATTATTTCCTAGAACATTAGAGAATCAAATGGTTTGGTCAACTATTCAGAATGGAACAAATCAACCAGTAGCTAGAGCACACTACATGAGAACAGCAGACTTCAAGGCCAGAAGCAGCCCAAGAAAGAGATGGGCGGAGGAAGTAAAAGATTCACTACAGAAAAGTAATATGACATTAACAAAAGGCTAGGCAACTAGCAAATGACAGGAAACTACATCTATCACCTCTCTGCAATGCTTTTTGGCAGGGCTATTCAACTGTTTTGCTCAGGGGCCAAAATTGTGAAAATGGCTATCGTCAAGGACCAGTATGGGCCCCAGCACAGAAAGATAATTAATACAACTTGCAATGATCCGCGGGCCACTTGTTAGGCCTCCACGGGCCAGATTTGACCCACGGGCCACCAGCTGAACAGCCTTGCTTTACAGAATATGCAGTAGGATACAAGAGGAAGAAAGAAAGAAGTAATCACTAGAGTCCCAGATCAGGTATGTGGTTTTATTCGGCTTATGGGATGTAGAGGAGTTGAACCACACATGGTGGTGTACTAGGACATGGGCTCATACTGGTTAACACCTACTTACACCTCTCTGTGGTCATCCTAGAAACAGGTTCACAACCAGGATCCTGGACAAAGCAGATAGGATCCACTTCTGGACGTTGGCCTTGTTCCAGGCCTTGAATTTAGTACATACATCCATTTTACAGATCTGGCGTATTTGTGTGCAGACAGATGCACTCTGACTTTAAAGGAAACACTCCTAAAATTGTACGCTGTGCTTGATGCCTGTGGGGTTGAGGTGTTTGTTCTTTTTCCACCCACAATAGGACCCCAAAACCCATATTAGGAACTAGTAGAACCCAGACGGGAAATACAAGGAAGCAGTATAACAAGATGTAAGTCCATCCATTCAAAAGGAGAAAATAGGGGTGACTGCCGTCAAGCTCATACCAAGAAATTAATCCAGTGAAATGTGACTAAAAAGCTGAATGAAATGGGGAAGCAGAACAACATGCACAACACAAATCCACGTGTCGGCCAGAGCTTTTCTCAACACGATCTGAACTACACAACCATAACAAAGAGGAGGAGGAGCCAAGTAGGTATAGGACATGAATTTTACAGATTAGTCTTTTCAAATGTCAAAACATAAAATTACCAATACCTTTTCATCTCTTGTTCGAGTTGCGCCATAATGCCTCAGTGCTTCCTCAGCATCTTTGAAAACGATTCCTATGCAGCATGTAGGCACAAATCATTACTCCAGTACGGCCCTACAGAAACATTACATTAACAGTCAATTGATTGGAACCTCCAGTACAGTCCTATAGAAACATTACATTAACAGTTAACTGATTGGAAGCTACAGTACAGTCCTATAGAAATATTACATTAAAAGTTAACTGAGTGGAAGCTCCAGTACAGTCCTATAGAAACATTACATTAACAGTTAACTGATTAGAAGCTACAGTACAGTCCTATAGAAACATTACATTAACAGTCAATTGATTGGAACCTCCAGTACAGTCCTATAGAAACATTACATTAACAGTTAACTGATTGGAAGCTACAGTACAGTCCTATAGAAATATTACATTAACAGTTAACTGAGTGGAAGCTCCAGTATAGTCCTATAGAAACATTATACTAACAGCCAACTGATTGTAAGCTCCAGTACAACCCTACAGAAACCTTACATAACAGTAAATTGATCGGCGCCATTCCGTCTTTTCAGACGATACTGTTATAATATTGTGCTATGGTGGGTCATGTGAAACACAGCCCGTAGATGGTGAGTGTTACTAGCAAGACCTGCCTGCATGTTTAACAGACCAAGCCTGGGAAGTTTTATAAGGACCATGTGTTGCCCATGCATCATGATCCCTCCCTCCCCTCTCTCTCTCTCTCTCTATGCCTGATTTTTTTACTCCAAAGGAAAGATAGCACCAATAACTTAGAATAAAGCAGGCCGCAGAAGCTGCCAAACAGTCAACAGCATCTGTACAAATGGTTTCAGAAAGGACCTTTTTCAAGTCAATAGTCTATGGGGCATATGGTGCTATATCCATTTTATAGACCAATCAGTGTTCCAAAGGTGATACTTCTGCTTTTCTATTACCCTTCACTGGCTGTAAACTCTGGCTGAGAGTTTTGGTTGTTCATACACTTCTAGACTTTTGTCTGAACCTGATGCTCTTGTTGACACCTTTCCATATTTTCAGATTGGTGTTTTACTGTGCTATGGGGGAGGAGGAGGGGGGGGGGGGGTTGGCAATCACAGCCCCTTGTGGTTTGCAAGAGTGTCTATCAATACCTGCCAGTGTTAAGAAAAGTCTTCCACAATGGGAATTCTGGACCACTGTTGGCACATAGCAAGATCCTTCTTTCCATAGCAAAAAAAGCTGGGTAGTATTGTAGAGACCATGTGTTTCACATGCACCACGATCCTTCTCTCCGCCTGCCTTGTTTACTTCAAAGGAAAAGTCACACTTACACATAAGGAAGAAATTCGCTAAATAAGCAGCTGGATCAGAAGAGCAGGGCTTCCCTTCTATACCAGCTGCAGGTCAGGGCTAACAGCCTGGTCTGCCTGCCACAATATGAAGTTTTCAGGTTGCACTTCCTCTTGGTTAAGTAAATGCCTTGTTTACTTCAAAGAAAAGGACACACTTACACATATGGAAGAAATCACGCTAAATAAGCTGTGACATCAGAACTTCCCTCCTAGACCAGCTGCAGGCCAAGAGCCTGGTCTACCCTGCCACAATATGAAGTTTTCAGGTTGCACTTTCACTTCCTCTTGGCACATTGTAGGAATGTCAGGTTTGGTATTTGCCACCTAACAGATGGCTTAGAAAACAGGTAGTATCAACTACTTTTATACGGTAGCTGAGTCTTGAACTTGGTCATTACTGAAGAATTCTTATAATACTATGAGACAAGAAAAAGAAAAATACCAGTATTCTACAAAGTTCTTCTTCTTCTGCCTTTTTATCCCCCAATGGAGCATAGGCCCTCAACCAACTCACGCCAAGTCGTTCTATCCTTCGCCATTACATGGAGCTCTCCCCATGTCCTCCCAATCTTTCTAACCTCATTCTCCAGCTCTCTTCTCCATGTGTTTTTGGCCTTCCTTTATTCCTATGCCCCTGTGGGTTCCAATGCAAAGACATTCTAGTTATGCTGTTCTCCTGTTTTCTCAGTGTGTGCCCTATCCAACGCCAGCGTCTTCTCCTCACCTCCTGATCCACTGGAGCCTGTTTAGTTCTCTCCCAAAGTTCTACATTAGTTATTCTATCATACCAATTTATTCCCTCTATTCTGCGCAGGCACCAGTTAATGAATGTCTGTAATTTATTAGTAATTGCCTTAGTTGTTCTCCATGTTTCCGCCCCATACAATAGTACTGATTTGACATTAGAATTAAAAATTTTTAGTTTAGTATTTCTTTTAATTTCTTTGACCTCCACAAATTCCCTAGTGCTATGAAAGGGCCCTCTTGCCTTTTGTATTCTTATTTTAATATCTCTATCAGTTCCTCCATCTTTATCTACATTACTGCCCAAATAGGTGTACGACTCCACGTCTTGGAGTGGGGTGCCATTAAGAGAAACCACATTACTATTTGCCTGATTTATTCTCATTATCTTTGTCTTTCCTTTATGGATTTTCAGACCAAGCTGCTGTGATCTCGCATTAAGTATATTTAATTTATCTTGTATCTGATTCCGTGAATGGGACAGAAGGGCAATATCATCAGCGAAGTCCAGATCATCAAGCTGTTTTGTAGGGGTCCACTGAATTCCATTCTTGGTGTTAGCAGTTACTGTTTTCATAGTCCAGTCTATTCTACAAAGTTAGTGTCGTTATAATTATTTTTTTTTTTTAAATGCAATTACTCTCAATATTTACCACTTTTGCGGTAACGGCAGAGGGATCTTGGAGCTTGAGGATTTAGGGCGGCATGGCTATTTCTGTCGCCATAGACTGTGCGGATTAGGATTGTATTTTTGCCACCAACAGAAAAAAATCAACAACCTTACTGAGGATTTGAACCTGGGTGCCCGCATGAGAGCACACAGCCTTCTTTACCATTGAACCAGTCACTACTCATTGTTATAATACTAGAGTATAAATACACAACTTTTACAAACCTTTCCAGCTTTACAATGGATTGCCGCTACATTGTCTGGATGTTGGAATAGCCATTTGTCCAGATCTTCACAGAATGGCTTGATCAGTTCCAGTCTTGGTGGGTTGTGATCATCAAATGGATAATAAGCCACACGGTTATGAAACTTGCTTGGGTCATAACTGCGTTCTGAACATCTACAAAAAAGAAAATATTGTTTTTGTCCCTTCTGTTTGTAACAGTAACCAATTTAGAAAGTATCTGGAAAGCGGATATGCATTTTACTGTGTCATTTTTAAAAATGCAGTTAACCCCCTTTGCCTCGTGAATGCTTAAAAAATATAGTAATTAGCCGGTGGGAATTCCTGGAAAATCCTTTCTGAAATATAAACATTTTAAATAGATTTTTTTTTTTTTATTAATTTGTATAGTACCTTTTTTTTTAAAGATATAAAAGTATAGAAAACTGGCAATCAATAAGCATGAATAGAAGGTATGCGTGTTGCCAAAAGATATAAAAGTATAGAAAACTGGCAATCAATAAGCATGAATAGAAGGTATGCGTGTTGCCAAAAGATATAAAAGTATAGAAAACTGGCAATCAATAAGCATGAATAGAAGGTATGCGTGTTGCCAAAAGATATAAAAGTATAGAAAACTGGCAATCAATAAGCATGAATAGAAGGTATGCGTGTTGCCAAAAGATATAAAAGTATAGAAAACTGGCAACCAATAAGCATGAATAGAAGGTATGCGTGTTGCCATGTTTGTGGGATAATGTTTGTGTAATGCAAGGCTATTCAACTGGCGGCCGGCGGGCCACATCTGGCCCTTGGAGACCTAGCAAGTGGCCTGCAGATCACTGCCGGTTGTATTATATTATTGATCTATCTATGCTTCGACTCATGGCTCTGGCCTGTGACGATCCCCAGTAAAATAAATTTGGCCTCTGAGTAAAGTAAGACAAATAGCCGTGGTGTAATGCATTAAATGAAATATATTCATGGTGCCTTAAAAAAAAAAAAGAAAAACAATATGTATCAAGTGACTCATGGTGTGACCCTGTGACTTGTACCACTGAGGCTTAAGTGAAAATTTGACATTAATTTGGCTTTTAACAAAGACATAGGTGTCATAAGGAACCACCCTCACCCCACTCCCCCCTCCCCAAAGTTAGTTTTAGTTACAATATTCAAATCTTGGCCTATTAAACACTGCACAGGTGCACACAGAACCAACGAAATTTAACTACACTTTCAGAGAACAGGTCACTGCAGACATGGCGATATATTGGCATTATCTGACTGTGCCACAACCAGAAGTGAATAGATTAGTCTTCTCACGGAGACACGGTTAACAAAACAAGGAATTATTGCAGTCAGACCAATCAAAGGAAACACAAAAGACTAGAAAGTTCAAGAGGGAAAGGAAGAAAAGGAAAAGACTAAATGTTTGATTTGTTTCTGTTTGTTTTGTGTTAATTTTAGATTCTCATGGTGACAGGGTTAAAGGTTATAAGGATCACTTTCATTACATCTATATTAGTCGCTTGTCATTGTGTGACCAGTAAAACAATGAAAGACTCAAAGCACAACAAACTCTGCAGTTCCCGCCATGAACCTCAGTTATCTCTAAAAAAAAAAAAAAAAAAACTGCATCCACGGAGAGAAATCCAGTCTGAAAATAAACCAGTCACCTCCAAAGTATAAGGCAAACACCTTTACCAGTTCACCATAGAGACTTCCTAGTTTGATATTCTTTAACCCCAGTGGAGCATGGGATGGACCAACTCATGCCAAATCATCCTATCCTTTGCTAGCACATGCAGCTCATCCCTTTGTCCTCCCTTCATTTTAACTTCACTCTCTAGTTTCCTTCTCACCGTGATTGCTTAGTCTGCCTTCTTTCTTCTTCTGTCCTCATTTCTAATACATTCTAGTTATACTTTTCCCAGTGAGTCTCTTATCCAATGCCAGCATCTTGTTATTCTCTCCCAAAGCTGCACATCAGTGATTCTAATTGTTCATATGCACCAGTTAATGAATGTTTGTAGTTTATTAATATTTACATTTTGTATCATTCCATTCTAACCCATAAACGAGAACAGTAACATGACTCTAATAAAAATAAATGAACACTGCAGGGTACTCACAAGTTGTAGACTTTGTAATGGTCCCTATGCTTTGACTCTAAGAATCTGCAAAAATAAGAAAACTAATGTCAAACAATTAATTATTGCACACACAATGTTTAGCAAAAAGCAGAGAGATGGATGACTGCCCAAACCATTCATCAGTCCAATTTAAAAATTGTAGTAGTATTTCTGTAACAGATTGTGCAAGTGAAGTACCTTTTTCTTCTTCTTTTGCAATTATTATTTCAGTCCCGGGGGAAATAACTGCTATCAAAGGTAGGCAAATGGGAACATCACTGAACTAACAGGGGTTCCACTTTTACTGGGGTCAGATACATTAACCTTGCAGGGAAAAAATGTCGCTGGAGTTCTTTCTTTCATCTCTGACTCAACTTAAGAAGTAGGAATATTCTCAAGATGTTCATTAGTACACATGGATACCATCCAATAGCAAATGATGCATCGCTCGGGACAAAAAGATTTAACAGGATGGCTGACAGTTTATGTTGTGGTCTGCAGCTGAATGGTGGTATCTATTTGTTAAACCTAATCCGCCCCAATACGGGATGCAATTTTGTTGTTATTTTAAATCCCCACCCCAGCTGTTATCAGGGGCTCTTAATTTAACCTACGGGTTGAAAGGGGTTTCTGAGACTTGTGCCCTGGTGGTACTTTGTGTCTCTGGGTGTTTATCACTCATTGTGAGATCACTGGTGGGGTTGAACATCAATCAATCAGTTTGTATAGTGATATCTGTGCCTTTCATTCCAACACATCCGATTTATTCATCTTTATGACATGATGGTTAGGGGGTGGGGGGGGGGGGGGGGGGCCAGTGGGTCCACAGATCTGATTCACTTGAATGCAGATTGTTGGATCCTTGCCTCTCAGGCAGACGCACTCCGACTTCAAAGGAAGCTCCCCAATTAATCTACTCTTACGACATGCTTTTGGGTTGGCAGTGGGTCTATTCTTGTTTTCCCCACAATGGGCCCCGGAACCCACACGTGGAAGCAAAACACTGATATATAACTTGCTTAAAGATAAGTTCCTAATTTCTTTTTCAAAAAAGAACAGTGCTAATTTCATGTATTCTAGCGACACAGTTAAGGTTAAAATCGAGAGGATCAACTTCAATGCACTGGGTTTTATCCCAAAAAGCACAGTCTCTCTCCACAGAACGGCTAGCCGCCTGCCGAGAGTATCACACACAGCATGAACTCCCCAGGGATCTCCGTAACCATTGCACTCGTGAACTGAAGGGCTATTAGACTACTAGCCTCCTGGTATAAGTTTTCTGACAGAAAGATTGAACAAGAAGATTAGGTGACACATTTCAATGCCATCACAGATTTTCAGTCCAAGGATATGAGACCACATGTTTCAATCATAAAGGAAACTTAGAGGACTTACTGATATTTAAGTGAAATAATACAAAGCAGACAAAAATGAAGAAGAAAATGAGAAAAAAAAAAAGAATGAGGAAGCGTTCAAAGGGCAGTATCATCGGCAGAATATGACAGTGATCCACTGTGTTTTTATCAACCAACATTTTAAAAAAACAGATGTTCTGTATCCACATATGGAGATTGGCTACGGCCGATGAATAAATCCATTGTCTTAGTGTGGCTACAATCTCTTCCCTGGTGTGACTCCTGTACCATTATCTGAAGACTATAAGAATGGCCCTTTTCTAAACCACCCGTTGTGTATGTCAAATCCTGGTTATGTTTCGTCACCACATCAATGTAACTGCACAATGGGCATCCCCATGCGTGCCCAGTCCTCTGATGCAGCCGTCACTCCAAGATACCTCTACTGATTTTCTCCCATGAGGAGCTGGTTATAATGTCTCCTATCTCAGCCTTGAGGCGACATAAACATGCTTCACCACACTTTACGCCAAATGACATGCAATCATGTTAGTGTCAGAGATTTGTCATTACCCACTAACCTAGTCCTTACCTCCGTACAGCGTTTATGATATCTGCTCTGTCCATGCTTCTTCCTCTGGTATTCCAAGGATTGTGAAACACACCTCTTACTTCGATAGGGAGCCACAGTAACTTAGTGGCTACATACTCACCTGCTGGCCTGATTGTCTTGGGTTCAAATCTGCATCAAAGTAGATTTTTTTTCTTTTAAAATTTACTTTGCTTACCAGGTCAACCCAGCCTTAAACGGGGTACCTGGCAATGTCCTTGGAAGCGAGGGAAGTAAAGGCAAAGTTGTTAACTAAGTGTGCTAATTAGTCTAATAATATATGAGTCTAGTGTCATCTCCTCAATGCACCACAGGCCCAAAGTATTGACCTTTTGACCCAAAAGGGGCCATCACTTTTTATTTTTCACACCTCTTACCTACTTGCCTTAGTCCTAGATAAAGAAACACAGTGATGTTTTATAACTGACATCAAACTTACCTGATGACATCTTCCATATGGTTTCTGTAGTATCCTTCCAGTTTCTCCGAGGGAAATCCCATCGCAATAATGTTAGGAGTGATGTCTAAACCAAGTTAAGGAAAAACTACAACTGACATTAAGAACACAGAAATTCTATCACTGGTACTTCTGCTGCTGGTGTGATTTTATTCTTTTTTTCTGCGCTTGGATTTGCAAGTGTGGTTAGCATGTTGTGTTGTATAGCTAGATTGCGATATCTGTGTCTTTTGAGCCAATATGCCTTAACTCCTGTTCTGCTGTATGGCAGTGAATCTTGGAATATCAGTGAACAAATTCGGAAGAATTCAGAAGCAACAGAGATTTGGTTTCTGAGACGAATGTTACGAATACCTCAGACAGTCAGAGTTACTAACAACGACTGTTAGAAAGAAGCAAATGAAAGAAGATTTGTTTACAAAGACAACAAGAAAGACAAACACCGTTCTTTGGCCACGTAATGAGAAGAGAGACATTGGAGAACATCGTGACAACTGGAAAGATCAGTGAAAAAAGGGGGTAGAGGCAGACCAATAGAGATTATGCTGGATGGGCTGAAACGATGGCATGGAAGGACATCATCAAGAGAGCTGTTCCAGGCAATGTGATCTGTGGAGATGCATCATGATGCCTCATCTCAGCAAACCGCTAATTAGTCGCCTCATTACAGAGACAGTAGGTCTATGTTTTTTCCTTCAAAAACTGGGCCATGGAAGCTACACGAACAGCAGGTGTGTGAACTGTTGAAACAGACTAATTTCCCCTTTATATTCATTGATTTGTATCCCAATGCCCAATGAGTTCCTTTCCTCTCTCCTCCTCAGAGCTAGGTCAACCCTAGAGCTGTACTGGTCAGGAAAAAGAAATACTCCTGTCAGTGCTGGGGATTGAACCTATACTCCCCCTGTGGGTTCCGGGGGGCTCCCATTGTGGCTGGGAAACAAGAACAGACCCACTGCCTCCCCAACAAGCATGTCGTAAGAGTCAACTAATTGGGGACATCCTTCAAAGCTGAACTACATCTGCATGAGAGGCATACAAAAAAGCTAGATCTGTAAAATGAATGTGCATGCAACACTCAGGTTTGGAGACAATGTCTAAAATCTGGAGGTGGAGGTATTCACCTCCTTTTTTTTTTAACTTTAGTCTTGTTCCAAAACTTTAGTTATGCATGCACATTAGTTTTACAAATCTGTCTTTTTTTTCTATGCAGTCTGTTAGTTCCCCGCATCTCAAGCAGCTACACTCTAACATTAGAGGAAACACCCTTAATTAGTCAGATTTTAAGGCTTGCTTGCTGTGGGGAAGGGAGTCGCCGTGGCAGAGTGGCTAGATGCTCATCGAGGACCAGAAGGTTGTGGGTTTGCTCCCTGGCAGAGTCAGACTTTTTTCAAAAATGACCTCGGCCCCTAGTTAGACCCAGCCTCGAGTGGGTACTGGGTGCAGTCCCGGGTAGTAAAGGTTGCCGGCGTGATGCTAATTACATCACCTATCTTGTGGTGATTGGTCTATAAAATATAGGTCTAGCCCAATATACCCTATACGCCTAAAGTTGTGAAAAAGGGACCTCTATTTTTTTTATTTTTTGTTCGGGTGGAGGGGGTTGCAGTGGGTCTACTCTTTGTTACCTACAATGGCGCCCAGGACCCACACAGGGTGCATCAACCAACAAATAAAGGATACAGGTCAAATCAAGGTCAAAACCATCCTCCTTAAGACGTCTTTTGTTTCTGCTGACTAAACCTTTAATTCTGTTAGCTGCCATTTCTGCAAACCAATCTATGTCCATAAAATGTCACACAGAACAAACACTGTTGGAAGTGTCGTCCTTGGATACCACATTGTGGATAGTCTCATCACTCCTTGGTCAGCATCTCTACAAGAGGGACAATAAATATGCACTGTTATTAAGATTAAAATACTAGTCATAAAATGTTTCAAAAATTAAAGTTAAATTTCGAGAGGATAAACTTCATTTTGCGTTGTACTTTGTGTCGTGGTGTTCAATATGGCTAGTAGCAGGTTTACATGTGAGCTGGTGTGTATGGCCAACTTGTCGTGCCCAACTACTGGTGGTGACTGTTAGCTTTTGGCGCCTCAGGCAACTAAAATATGCATTTGCTGCTTGCGCATATTTTTGGATTGTTCCAGGGCTAACTGTTTGTTTCCCAGTTTTATCAAACGTGACAGTGAGAGACATTTCCTGGCATAGGAATGGAGCAAGTATGGGGATACCTGACTGCAGTGATGTTGAAATCTCAACTAAGACTAAGTTTGTAATATTGGGACCCTCCGACGGTTACAAAGTAACCTGAAGTCCAGAAAAGGCAGGGATACATTCTACATCCACTTTACTTTATTTGCACTTGGTTTTAATTCACATGGCTTTCTCTGCAGAAGTGCTACAAGCCTGCTGTCAGCGCCACACAAAGCAAAACTCCATAGCTACAACGATGATTCCCTAGGAACCCTGTAACAACTGCAGTCGTGAACTGAATGGCATGTCCATGAAATGGACACTTCTTCTTTGATCCTTCTGTCAGAAAACTTATATCAGGAGGCCGGCAGCTTTTATGAACACTATCGTGCAGTCCATATTTTCTCATGTACCATAGTTTGCTAGGGTTTTCTGACATTAAAGAAGGTATGCGTATTGCCATGTTTGTGGGAAAATGTTCTCTCATACTATTTGTGCCTTTCGACCTGGCGTCTCTGTCTTCAACATGCTTTTCTTTCAGGGTATGCTTTATTAGCCCTTGACCAACCAAGGCCTAACCACCAGGCAGTGGTAGTTTTATTTCAGAGTATGCTTTATTAGCCCTTGACCAACCAAGGCCTAACCACCAGGCAGTGGTAGTTTTATTTCAGAGTATGCTTTATTAGCCCTTGACCAACCAAGGCCTAACCACCAGGCAGTGGTAGTTTTATTTCAGAGTATCCTTCTCATAGGTGGGCTGCTGCCCCAAGCTGATGAGACCCACCTACCCGGAGAAATGCCTATTTTTCAAAATAGACACAATACACTCAGACCAGGAAATATTCAGCTTGATCACTTCGCCAGAAAGACCCCCATGTTGTCATAAAAACTAGAGATACGTACAACAAATTCTTGACACAAAAACAAATAATTTATAGCTTAGCCCTTTTGCCTCGTGTTATCTAAAACAACAATGGGTCATAAAATCATAGGAATTTCCATTAAATAATATGTTAAAACAACCATATTATATTTTAATCTAGATAGTAAAAGTTTTACAAGGGAGGAGAGAAATGAATAAATGAATGAATATTTTTAAAGGATTACAAATTGGGCATGCAGGCCTGTCTCACATTCAGCCCTTTCAGACACTCATTACTCACAGTCCTAGTGTATTTTTATCAACAAAGCATGTTATGTTTGTACAATTAATCAAGTAACAGAAAGTGTGTTACAAACATATATAATGAGTATGTGGTAAAAACACAGATATGGATGGCAAATAAATATACACATTCAAATATACATACATGCACACATACATGCTTAGGTGAACAGAAAAAAGGAAAAAGGCCAGTCCTAATTAAACTAAGTTTGACAAAACTGTAATCGTCTTTTTTTTTTCGAGTTCACTAGCTGTAAACTGTGACGGAAAGTTCTGGTTGTTCATCCATTTCTGGACTGCAGTCCTGTTCCAGAACCTGAGTGTTGCGTGTGCTTACGTTTTACAGATCTGACTCATTTGTATGCATACTGCTGGTTCCTTGCCTCTCAGGCAGATGCACTCTGACTTTGAAGGAAGTTCAAAATTAGTTGACTCTTAGGACATGCTTTTGGGTAGGCAGTGGGTCGATTCTTGTTTTCCCTACAACAGGGCAACAGAACACAATGGGGCACAGTCTTACCTCTAGATATTCTTCTTCAACGATATCAGGACATGCACTATGGGTCATAAACTGGGAGATCAACTTAAGGTCTCTTAGGTTTCCTCAAAGTTCAGTTGTCAAGTCTACCCCAGGAGAGGATAATCTTGCAAGACATGTCCCAGTGTATGCTCAACATGAAGATACTGACAGAGAGCTGTTTGGCTCATACCGAATGTATATGAGTGTACAGTGAGTCGGGAATATCTATGTCAAACCTAAGCAAAATATAGTAACTGTGATGTGCACGGAGTCTGGAATATCTAAGTCAAACCTAAGCAAAATATAGTATTAGTAACTGACACATACTCAGAGATCTCAATAATAAATACTACTCTGGTGTCAAATTTAAATATAATTAATTAAGGATATCCTCCAAATAACAGTCCCAAATTTACCCTAACAGGGCCTCAGTTATATGTAAATTGCAGACTTCCTGCAACTATTGCCACTGCCGAGAGTATCTTCCACGCTGCTACGCACGGCGTGGAGCGGGGCTAAACTAGATGGCTGGGACTCGCGAGCAAATAAAATGAAGGAAGCTGCAGGAGATGCTGTAGCTGCTGCTCGTGAGTCCCAGCTATCTAGTTTAGCCCCGCTCCACGCCGTGCGTAGCGGCGTGGAAGATACTCTCTGGCGGTGGTGGTAGTCATTGGAAGTCGGCAATTTAAGTTGCTGGAAGTCCGCAATTTACATGTGACTGAAGCCCTGTTAGGGTATAATTTTTGGCCTCGATAATTTAGGACCGTTATTCGGAGGATAGGCTTAATGTATAATAATCATGACTAGAATGCATTATACTGCACATTCACAAACTAATAGGAGTGAATCTAAACATCAATTAAAAATCTGTCTCTGACACCAATATTCCAAATTATTGAAATATTTCTGAATAACCTGAATTATCTCTACATTACTTATTTTTAGTGTTACTTTGTTAACATTTGAATTCTTATGCAAACCAACAACAAAATCTAAATTAAGATAAATGTTTTCAAACAGACACTGTCTTATGTGATAAAAGTTAAAGAATTAATAATTTCATCATCAACCTTAGTGGTTAATATATAGTTAGTGCTTTACTACTCACATTCACAAAATATTTTTAATGTAATAAAGAATATAATTTACACGCTACGGTCTTTGAAGAGTATTCATCATACTCATACTTACTATTTGCTAATACCAGAGTCCCATATTATATTTATAGATATCACCTTTTGGGTTACTATTACTATGAAAGACGTGTGGTACCGTAGGAATAAGATCTTAACAAGATCGCTGTGTGTGCTGTTCAAAACTCGGTCAAATATTTACTACCTTACAAATCCGTGAAAAAATAAAAATCCGATCTAACTGAACTGTTGTAATCAACCGGTAATTTTCCAATCAACTATCTAAAAGTCGACCAACTTATTTTTAACGTAAAAAAAACATACAACAAAAAACATTGTCACTAATTAAAATACTAATATAAATAAAATAAGTCCCAAACTGAAACTTACAGAAAGTAACGACTTTTGTTTTAGTAGACGAAAAGTTATTGATTAGTTAACCACACAAACTGTTTTATCGCGAAACAATCACTTACTTCTTGCAGAATTATAAAACCTCACTAATAAAATAAAATGCCGGTATATTTTTATTTAAAAAACAAAATCTTCGTCTCATAAGGGAAAAAAAGGAAGGATCCTAGAACTACTCCGCTACTTCTCACTCAGGAAGGAAATATACCATCCATTTTGAGTGTCATGAATTATCTTCCTTGACCAAGCTACAAATAGTTCCGTTTCTTTTCGTATTTTTATGGCAATTTTATCATTAACAGCCCATAAGGGAAATCACATGTGGCCCCTAATAACACGTGTTCGTTATTATGGCATACTTTTCAACAGTTTCATCTTTCAAACATAAACCACAATATTAATGCGCACTGAAGGTCATTTTTCTTTAAAAAGGAAAAAAAAAGAATACCACTTCCGTAACCCAATATGACAGGCGGTAAAATTGGGTCACGCTCAACCTGACCCAGTGACCGTTGATAACCCCAATACACCTTCTTCCTTCAGCTCTCCCAGAGAGGCGGTTGGAGTTCCACACGTTTTTTGTTGAAACTTCACGGCTGGAAGGCAGGGGGGGTGGGTGGATAATAAACATTATTAAAAGCAGAATTCGACAATTTTATATTCTCGACTGGAATAGAAAGAACGGTTGTTCTCTGTGCCACTGCAGGTGGTAGAAAGTACTCCTCAACAACGCAATACATTCTTATGCAGTTCTGTTTTCTGTGCACAGTCGATGATGAAATCAGCTTTCACCTGCGGACTGCTGTGTGCAGCGTTCAGATGTGCTTCGTGCATTTAACTTAGCAATAAATACTTCCACTGCATGGCAGCCACGTAATATGAATTCTCAGAGGGAGGCTGTTCAGAGCGTGGCCACAATATGGTACCCCCAACACATATTCCTTCCTGGGAGGGGGGGATCACAGTTCGACCCATTAATTAGCGTTGAAACTTGCGATCGGGTGTGTATATGGCACGTGAATTTGCGAATAAGTAAAATTAAGGAATCGTTTATTATCATCCGTAAAGGAAAGAATAGCTCTTTCCGGCGTTGCTGTTTTATGAATGACAGTTGAGGTGGTGATGATGAAATCATGTTCACATAGCGTTCCGGTGTGCTGCAACAGATCATTAGGTCCTTCGCGCCCGAAGGTACGAGCTCAGGTGCTTCCTTAGTGAGGAGTTCAGGCGCCCGCCGCCGCCAGTCATTCATTACTGTTGTCAGCACATAAAAAATGGAATTAAATGATATGATAAAATCCCAAATGTTTAGCTTTGGGGAGAACTAAACAAGTATCAG